TATCTTCCGTATTTTATAATAAACTACTTCTGTTTCCACACGATAGCTGCTTGCGTAGACACACACATACCAATTTTATACAGAGAGATAACAATTTCCTAACTTATACTGTTTTTCGTGTGTTATATAATAATTAAGTGAAGATAATTTTCAGGTCGTTAGGAGAAAGTTTTTATTTTATCTGGAACTGCAGTTTACATAACGTAAAAACTGCTTAAAACAGCGTGAAAATTTGTTTGATAATTTTTAACAAAATCTTAATCTCCCTTTTGCATTCTTTTTTCTCAATACATCAGTTTAACACCATATATAACTGATTATCAACAGTTAAATATCATGCATCTGTAGTTGGACGAGATCCACGCCAAAGGAACAGAGCTACTACTTACCCACAGTTGTCTCGAGATTCTTAATTAGTAAGCACTATAAATTCATTCCTTCCTTGGGCAGCATCAAGAACTTCTTCAGCAATATCATGCTAATGCAATTCTTTCCGAGCACAATGATTATGTATGTCACCGGTTTTTTGGTGGTAACAGTGAGCGTTCAACCAGCTTGAGACTTTGTTATGAGAACTTGTATTCTGTCATCTGCGATCTTTTGTGCACCCACTCGTGCAACACTTACGTGGAGAAATTGTCTCCTCTGCATTTTTCACGTTGCTAATTTGTTCCGTTATTACGATTTTTTGCGATATAATGAGACAATGTTAAGACCGCGGTGGATACGATCACGGCCATATAACTCCTCGATCGTATAATCACCGCTCGATTGCTGCAACTTTAATTCTCAGCGCTTCGTGTGTTGCACCATAACTCACGGTCTCAGAAAATTGACCGGTGATTATCTTACTATGGCTGCATTTAGTCGTCGACCGCTTGCGTGTTCAACTTGCCTCTGTACAGTCGTTTTACAAAGCCTTTTACAAAGCCTCTCCAATGCTGTTGACGCTATAATAATTCGTGGCTTCGCGACATTGAAGTCATTGACACGTTGAGTACTTTTTTGTGCCTTTTTGAGTGACTTTTTTGTCGAATTGTTAATTGTTGTTTAGTTTGATTTGCTAAAAATGCGAAATTCAACCGGACAATTCACGAAAGTACCAATTGATAGAGATATTTCGATACTAATCGTAAGATGGCACACCGAGAGAAAATAAAGTTGTCCTTAAGCGACTTCTCCATCTCGATGGAGCTCGTTCTTTGGTACGTCGGGCTGTGGCCGGATGCGCTGTGCACGTTCTGTCGTTATATTTGGATAGTCGCCACCACCATGATACAGATTTGCCAATACTCCTACGTCATTCGCCACTTCAAAACCGAAGATCTGTCGAATCTGACGGACACTTTGAGCCTCACTCTTGAGTATACCGTGACGTTTCTGAAAATCATTATTTTATGGTTCAATACCCGGTAAAAAGATATTTCTCTTTTACTTTCATGTCTCGTTTAAAAGTGGACATATATATTTTCTGAGAAATCATATTCCTTTGATGACATTTCTTTGATCAACTTTGATTCTTTTATTAAACACGTTGACTGCCACGGAACTTTTCACGATTCTGGTCTAAAAAGCCAATTTGATTTAATCAAGTAATGAAGCGACGAGATAACTCGTAGTTGGCGTCCTGGACAAGTAAACAACCTACGAGATATCTCGCAGTTGGCAGTCAACGTATTAATTTACTAAAGTAAAGAGCCCCAATAAAGAGCTCCCAAGTAAAGAGCCATTCAAAATTGATTGATATAAACAGAATTTTAATTCTAAAATTCTGTTTTTCAGTGTTACGTAATTCTAAATGTATCTTTAACTTCGTTGGCCAACATAGTCAGTGCAATACGCTGTGATAATGTCGATATACATTCTAAGTATTATCGAACAAATCAGATAACTTGATTTATATTATTAAATGCTGATAGAATCAGACTCGCTTCGTTATGGAACTTACCCGTCAGTTCAGCGCGAATTGTTCATTCACCGTCGCAAAACACATGGATAGCGTAAACTGCCGCAGTATATTTAACGATGTCCTAGCTACAATGGCCACGGGTTG